GATTATTGATGTCCATTGTTGATGTTGATTCTTGATTTTGATTGTTGATGTTGATTGTTGATGTTGATTGTTGATGTTGGTTATTGATGTTGATTGTTGATTTTTGATTGTTGATGTTGATGTTTATTGCTGATTGTTGATTAGTTCATGATGATTGTTGATGTTGAGTTGATGTTGATTGTTGATGTTGAAGTTGTTGTTGATTGTTGATGTTGAAGTTGTTGTTGATTGTTCCTTGTTGATGTTGATTGTGGACAGTTGAATGTTGATGTTGATTAATGATTATTGATGTTGATTGTTGATTGGTGATGTTGATTGTTGAACGTTGATGTTGATTGCTGATGTTGGTTATTGATGTCGATTGTTGATTAAGTTTATGGTGATTGTTGATGTTGATTGTTGATTGATGATGTTTTTGATTGTTGTTTATTGATGTTGGTTGTTAAGGTTGATAGTTGATTGTTGATGTTGATTAATGATTATTGATGTTGATTGTTGATGATTGTTGATGTCGATTGTTGATTTCGATTGTTGATGTTGATGTTGATGTTGATTGTTGATTGTTGATGTTAATGTTGATTGTTCATTGTTGATGTTGATATTGATGTTGAGGGTTAAGGGTTGAACAATACGGTTAAGGGTTTAACAATACGGTTTGTAGTAATTATACAGACAATAATTAAAAAGAGTTAGGTGAGGATCTGCACGCGTATGCTGCTGTAGTGTAAACTTATCGAGTACAATAGCTACAAAAACCCATTAAATAGCTCATATCTCTAAAAGTAAAGGTCGTACACCATTTGTGCAATACAAAAAATTGCTCATCATACACTCTTTACCCCATGCGCATGTTTTTAGAAAAAAAAGCGCCCAATTAAAAAAAAAAGTGCCTGATTGCGGGCCCAATCTCAGAATTTCATATGACGTCATCCAAAGTAAAAAATGTGCTTCCATTAAGAAGTTGTCATGTAAACGTATACAATACACTGCTAAACACTTTAAATACATTGGTCTATCAAACAGCCATTACATGTGGCTCAATAATTAACATAAAACAGTCGTAAAACCAGACACTTGGGGAACCGGGGAAAACCCCTTTTGTTCGCAATCATCCCCCATTTGCTGTACACACGCCATACCGTACAATGTACATGGCATTCATGAACCTTCCAAGGCGTATGCGTTGTCAACTTCGAATTTCAAAGGGGCTGCAGGGCATCTTCTAATTAGCTTATCGTAATCAAACCTGGGGAAGTTTTAGACCTATTATTAAATTGTCATTTAAAGAACAAATCAAGATTAAATCTGTCAGGGTTGATTTTCCAGGAATTTTCAAAGGAAAAGAGGTCTTTGCATTCTAACTTCCGGTCTGATGATGTAATCAATTTTTTTTTTACGCACTGGTCTTGTTTGCATTAAGGACATCATATATATTAAATTTTAAAGCGATTACCGCAAATTTCACCACAGACATCAACTAAAAATGCGTTTTTGACATTTTTTTAACCTGCCGCTAGAGGGCGCTCAAACACTTCATGGCATCACATTTTTTTGGAAAGGTCATCCCAGCCAGACACTAACATTATTCAAAGCAAGTTCATATCTTTTTCCACTTTCAAATAATTAGGCACTTCCGGTTTCGACCGAAAGGAAGGGTTACGTGATTTGACACGCACATGATAAAATGAAGATCATGTATTATCATGTCGATTCCCGGTCTCTCACTAGAGATTTTATATTGAATTTCAAAGATTAAATTTATTGTTTTTGGAAGTGACGTCACGTGACCCATGATGACGTCATAATGATGTAATCACACACAAAAAAAATCTCCAGTGGGTTGTGCATTCATGTTTTGACAGTTGAAGTTCATATGTTTTCATTTTGACAAACAGTTCTGGAAATGAAGTTGCTGAGGAGAACAATAAAAAAAACCCAGTAAATTCTAACAATAACAATAAGAGGTTTGCGTTTGTTGAATTACAAACGCAGAGTGGTCGGGCAGGCAAGTTTTTCATTAAACACTGCCCAGTTAAGTTATGAATATGTTTATGTAATGTGGCGATCCGACTTGAAACAAGACTTCACTCCGCCTTGAGACAAGTCTGTTGTTTATCGTTTACAGCGTGCCGTGTGCAACATTGTTCATGTAACCACATCACTGCTACCATGCCGTGCATGTGCTTAGGTAAAATAAGCCCATAAATGTAATTGATCTATCTCCATACAAATTATTAGACATAATCAATATTTGTAATTAATCATGATCATTACCTTTGAATATTCCTGTCATAATAATAGCGAAACAATGTTTGTAAATTGTTGTATTATGCCGGATATGTAGGCCCAGTACTGTAATCTTACGCGACGTGCTTCGGCACACTACATGAAACCGTCCTCTCTCTTGCTGGAATTCCCTTTATAAAGAAGTAAGTTCCACTTTCTCTGCAAATCTCACTTATTTTGCACATTTCATTCACCGAAATATCTTATTTTGAGCTAACCATGTTTATGAATGCAGGTTCATAGCACATGTGGACCGAGTGTAGGCTCAGACCAAAATCAGAATCTGTCATTTTTGACAAGTTTTCTGTGTAGCACTTTCGGGAAACTGTGTGTGAAGTTTTGTGTGAAGATTAATCGTGTGACTTTCACGTGAAGCATACGGTCGTTTCATGTATGGTCTCAACGACTATTTATGTATTCGCTCTGTGTGTTGTTTACACAGGTTGACTCTTATAAGTGGAGAGAGCAGGTCTGCACGGTGCTCATAACTCAGATATTTACTCATAATTAACTCAGACTACATTTTGCTCAGTACATTTTACTCATATCATAATTAAGCTCATAACTCATACTTGAGATTTAACTCTATAGCTCATATCCTAAACTGTATTACACCATAATTATTTTGGGTACGTACACCTGGGCAATATATATTGCTGGATACTTGTTTAAAGCAAGACAGTGAGATAACTATATTTCAATATTTGACGATATTCTTGTAAGCTGATGTGAAATACATATAGTTCACCATTGCAGATTTAGATGAATATTTGTACTGATATAGTGATACAGTGCTTACATGTAGAACATTTACACTGTGATAGCTGAGCATATCTTTGACATACTACACATATTGCCAAATATTCTTGATACTTTTGTTGCTGGTGGCCCACCACTGGTGTTCTTTGGCATAAGCTATGGTATAGGGTTTTATTATAGCCTTTGTGTCTTAGCATAATACTTGTCAACATCCTTTAACTGATTTGACGTGACAGATATTTTACTCAAGCTTAGAATATTTTAATTGACTGATTGCTGGGTAGTATTAATTTCTCTCACTAATTGTCTTCAATTTACTCAAACAAAATTAAGTTTTATTAATTCATTGGAAAACATCTTGACAGTAAATATTGCCTTCAATTCGTGCTCATTTCTGATTGTTTTTCCCCTTTAATTGCCAAGGGGATCTATTCTCAATCTTTAAGCGGACTTACCACGTTAGGCAGCAATTACCCTACGCGTAACCGTGACAGTAAGAACAAAGGATAGCGAAATTAAATACTTTCCATCACAATCAATATTTTGTTTTAAATGCATCTTTAACGGTGTGATAAATTTCCATAAACATTCTGTGTACACATGATGATGTCATTATTCAAGAACGGGAAGTGAATACTGATTTAGTTCGGAGTGGATAAATGTTGACTGTGAAGTTTAATAAGGTGTGAAAATATGGCAAATGTGAGTGTATGTATTCATAACACCTAACTTCCTAACTTGATGACGTCACTAGTATTTGGAAGCAAAAGATGAACATTGTAATGGATATCGTTATTTGGGCTACAAAGATATACGACATGAATTCAATTTAATAAATGATCGTTTTTAAATTCTCCTTGAAGTAACTTCCTGTCTGATGACGTCATGAATTTGAAACCATGCCAAGTTATCTGTTGTTAATCAAAGAATATCAAGGGGCGATTTGGTTTAATTTGAACGGATGGTTTCCAAATTAAAGGAAGCAAACACTATTTTATGTGCCGCTAGGGGGCGCCCTTTCGAATGATGACGTCAACCATTTTGTCAACACATTGTTTTTTGTGTCTAGCATTCCTCACACTTTCATAATTTATATATGTGTAGTAAAATGCTTCTGCTTTTGAGTTATATTAGTTTTTTATTGCACTTTTCGGTAACACCGGAAGTGAAGGTCAAGAGGTTCTGTGTCCGACAAGAAGTGTTTCTGAAGGCATGTTCTACAACCTCACAAAAAAATGAACACAATATTCTAATTACCGTAGTTCAAAAGATACAGCGCAAACTATTTTGTCAAAATTTGCCCTTAAATCGCTTGTAATTTGATACCTGATGACGTCATGATGACGTAACAAAATTTATAACATCTTCGTAACATGGTACAAGTTCACACCATGTTTTATGATCATACCTTAAACCGTTTGGAAGAAAATTTGCTTTGTTTTGATTTCAGGCTAAAGTCTTCATTTTGAATTCACCTAACTTTGACCCTCCGGTAGACCCGGAAGTAAAGGTCAAGCGAGTTAACGTACATGACAAAAAAACGTTTATCAATTAATGGTCTATCTGATTACTGAATACAAACATCATCGATTATTTTGTTTAAGAGTTATAGATGAAAGTAATTGGTCACTTTCCAGCTAAAATTGCTTGTAATTTGACACCCGATGATGACATCATGACGTCAGAGTAATATGCACCACTCGGGATGAGGGTCGATATATATTGAAAGTTACAAGTTCATACCTTGAACCTTTTAGGAGAAAACCCGTGGAGAAGTATTGTCCGAAAAAAAGGAAAGAAAGAAAGAAGATTTATGAGAACAAATCCTGACAGTGGTCGGGTTGTGCCTGACCACTCAAAATGCAAAACAAAACAAAGCAAATATCAGAATTTCTTCTAGTTACAATGTTCTTCCAACAGTTTCAAAACAAGTTTTGCCCTTTTTCATTTTGCAGTTTCTTCGTGATGAGCTCCAGTACAAGACTGACTTTGAACGTCAGCACACATTGCATGGGGAAGATAAATTTATCAGTGTTGATGACCTATGGATTGCCTGGAAATACTCTGAAGGTTTGTAACAAGAAATTACACATGTACCTTTATGGACTAAGCAAAAAATAGCTGAGAACAGTCATAAAACAATGTGAATCACATGACAGTTTGTAAATTGTTATGCTAAACAAATTTTTTGGGCGTTAAGCATAAATGTACTGGTACATGTATCTGTGCATGCAATCTGTACATCTCTCAGAAATACATGTATAGACTATTCACAATAAGTTTACATAATGTACCACAGAGAAGTCCCAACAAAGATGATGTCATGTGCACACATAGAGGGTTTATGAAAGAGTTGCTGTTTGCAAACTCCAGCCCCATCCCATACATTGCACGTGCTAGCATGCATGCACAACTTTCCTCATAATGTACATGTAGCTCTTTTGTATCAATGTTGGAACATGCATATATAATTTTTTCCACATATTTTTTTCTTCCCACTGTATGTTATGAGGTGCATATTAATCCTAGGGTTTGGTTGTACTACGTTTGCGTAAATTTTGGCAATGCCACGGTTATTCCCTTACACTTGTTGTATTATTTGACATTGTGAACGCTGTGGTAAGTTGACCTATCATCATGTACATGTATTTTCTTTCTTGCATAAACTAGGGTGTGATTTTTACCCCTCAGCCGAGAGGCTCGAGGGGTATTGTCATCGCCTACGGCGTCCATATGTCTGTCCATCCAGGCAGCTTAGTTTCCGGATAATAACTTGAGTTAGAAATGTTGTTTGGGATTGTAACTTCCCAAGGGGGTTGCCCTTGGGAGTAGGCAAGTTGGGATTGGTTTTGGGGTCAAAAGGTCAAAAGTCAAGATCACCGTGGTGAGTGAACGGTAAATGGTTTCCGGATGAAAACTTGAGTTAGAAATGAGATTTTGGTGTCTAACTTTGGTAGGGGGTTGCCCTTGGGAGTAGGCAAGTTGGGATTGGTTTTGGGGTCAAAGGTCAAGGTCACCATTTTGAGTTCAAGGTTAATAGTTTCCGGATGATAACTTCACTCTGGCTGAGGGGTTTCAACAGCGACGCTGTTATTTTTAATTATTGTACCTCTGTCTGGAATACTCTACTTTCATCGGCCTAGAACGATCACGTGTTAAGTTTATAAAATGTCATGGCACACTCCCTGTGGGATATACGACGTGATATCATGTACATGCTATGACTTTATATAAACGATACTTACAGTGTGAAAGGCTTGTATCATTGGTACCCCCGCTATTTTCACCATGTTTTCACACATGAGTGGGGGCAGCGAACTACATGTACATGTAGTAGACGATTAGTTGTTTCGAGCATGCGATATGCATGCGAGTGATTGTTAGCTGTTTCGGTGTACACCGAAACAGCTCTTGTTTTCGTTAAGATTTTTTTTCTTTTTAGCTGTTTCGGTGACACACCGAAACAGCTCTTGTTTTCGTTAAGATTTTTTTTTTTTTTAAGCTGTTTCGGTGTACACACCGAAACAGTGTACACACCGAAACAGCTCTTGTTTTTGTTAAGATTTTTTTTTCCATTTTTTTTGGCTTTTTCGCAAATTTGCGAAAAAGCCTTTGTTTTTGTTCAGATTTTTTTGGCTTTTCCGCAAAGTGCGGAAAAGCCTTTGTTTTAGTTCTCATTGGCTTTTTCGCAAAATTTGGCGCCAAAAATCCCATAGACTTTGTACACGATTTTTCTCTGCAGCACTTTGGGTATTAATCTTTGTCAGACATCATTCAAAGTTGGCATAAGAATAGTCCTTATAGCAAAGATGTGTCCCGAAGATTGATGTCATGGTGACGTCATCGACTAATTTATTATAGAATTGTGAATATTTAATTTTGCCCATAGACTTTGTACACAGAAATTTAAAAAAATTGTCGATTTTCAAAGGGCATTTTCGACTCTTTGCCTGTAATTCATTTACACCACTCTTTGTTCAAGCAAAGACCCTAAATCAAACAACATTGTGTGATGATGACGTCATGATGACGTCAACCGGTATTTATTTATAGGCAATTAAATTGTGACACTTTTAATATCATCAGACCGGAAGTTATAATAAAAATACCTTTTTTTATTTGAAAATTCCTGAAAAATCAACCATGGCAGTTTTTATGTTAGTTTTTACTTTAATTGTTGATTGAAGGGTAGGTCTAAAACATTTCAAAGCTTCGAGGCAATAAGCGAACTCGGACATGCCCTGCGCACGCTTAAAACTTCAGGTTGACAATACCTCTGCTCTAAAACATGCACAGAACGTCTATATGTACATACACGTACGTTAGGCACATACATCGTATGTCAGTCAGCCTGCAGAGCACGTGTTGCCGAGGTCAAATCCTGTCCACATCACAGTGACCGTTTTAGCCGATCTTCGGCTAACTTTGACAGATTTTATGTTCATGCATGCTCATAGTCAGGGACGTATAATAAAAAATCATAATGCCGAAAAGCCCTATGTTACGTATTTAAAGGTGCAGTTTTCCTGCAGTGGGATTTTCCACAAGTCACAATAGGTTAAGGTCTTTATTTCATTCAGTGTGCGTGAAATCACGTGACCCTTGCTTCCGGTCGAAAAAGGCCAAAACCGGAAGTGGCTTATTTTTTTAAAGTGGTAATAGATATGAACTTGCTTTTAACGGTGTTAGTCTCTTGGCCGATAGTATTCTTCAAATCAGCTACTGATGACGTCATGCAATCTTCGAGCGCCCTCTAGCGACAGGTTGAAAATTTTTAAAAATGTATTTTGAATAGATGTCTGTGGCGAAGTTTGTCGGAATCGCCTAAATATTGGTGTATATGATGACTTTGACCCCTTTAAGACGTGTGCGAAGTTTTAGGCAGATGACGTCATCAAACCGGAAGTTTTAATAAAAAGACTCTTTTTCCTTTGAAAATCCTGAAAAATCAACCATGGCAGTTTTTAAATTAGTTTTTACTTTAATTGTCCATTTAAGAGTAGGTCTAAAACATTTCAAAGCTTCAAGGCAATAAGCAAACTCGGACATGCCCTGCGCACGCTTAAAACTTCAGGTTGACAATACCTCTGCTTTAAAACATGCACAGGACGTCCACAATGTACATGTACATGCACGTACGTTGTACATCTTGTACATGTACGTGTATGTCAGTCAGCCCGCGGCGCACGTGTTGCTGAGGTCAAATCCTCTCCACAGTGACCGTTTTAGCCGATTTTCGGCTAACTTTGACAGATTTTATGTTCATGCATAGTCAGGGACGTATTATTGATAAAAAAAAAAATCATAATGCGGAAAAGCCCTATGTTCTGTTGCAAACAGACATAGATCTCTAGTTGGCTTTTTCGCAATTTTGCGAAAAAGCCTTTCTTTTTGTTCTGGTTTTTTTGGCTTTTCCGCATAGTGCGGAAAAGCCTTTGTTTTTGTTCTCGTTTTTTTTTTTTTTTTTTTTTTTTCCTTCTTTTTGTCGCCAAAACCCCATAGACTTTGTGCACGTTTTTTCTCAGTGCCACTTTTGGCATTAATCTTTGTCAGACATCATTCAAAGTTTGCATAAGCATAGTCCCTATAGCAAAGATGTGTCTCGAAGATTGACGTCATGGTGACGTCATCGACTAATTTATTATAGATTTTTGAATATTTAATTTTTCCCATAGACTTTGTACACAGAAATTTAAAAAAAATTGTCATTTTTCAAAGGGCATTTTCGACTCTTTGCCAGTAATTCATTTACACCACTCTTTGTCCAAGCAAAGACCCTCATTCAAACAACATTGTGTAATGATGACGTCATGATGACGTCATCCGGTGTTTATTTATAGGCAATTAAATTTTGACACTTTTAATATTTAAAAATGCATAAGAAATCAACCGTACGCGTCCGCAGCATTCTGTTGCCGGCAAGTGGTAGATTAGGTTGAGGTCTTTATTTCATTCAGTGTGCGTGAAATCACATGACCCTTGCTTCCGGTCGAAAAAGGCCAAAACCGGAAGTGGCTTATTATTTGAAAGTGGTAATAGATATGAACTTGCTTTTAACGGTGTTAGTCTCTTGGCTGATAGTATTCTTCAAATTATTTACCGATGACGTCATGCAATCTTCGAGCGCCCTCTCGCGACAGGTTAAAAATTAGCAAAAATGTATTTTGAATAGATGTCTGTGGCGAAGTTTGTCAGAATCGCCTAAATATTGGTGTATATGATGACCTTGACCCACTTAAGACGTGTACGAAGTTTTAGGCGAATGACGTCATCAGACCGGAAGTTATAATAAAAAGACCCTTTTTCACTTGAAAATTCCTGAAAAATCAACCATGGCAGTTTTTATATTTGTTTTTACTTTAATTGTTGATTGGAGAGTAGGTCTAAAACATTTCAAAGTTTCGAGGCGATAAGCGAACTCGAACATACCCTGCGCACGTTTAAAACTTCACAATGACAATACCTCTGCTTCAAAACATGCACAGGACAGGACGTCCACAATGTACATGTTCTTGCACGTACGTTGTACATAGGCACATACATCGTATGTCAGTCAGCCTGCAGCGCACGTGTTGCTGAGGTCAAATCCTGTCCACAGTGACCGTTTTAGCCGATTTTCGGCTAACTTTGACAGATTTTATGTTCATGCATGCGTATAGACAGGGACGTGTTATAACACTTTTGGCATTAATCTTTGTCAGATATCATTGAAAGTTGGCATTAGCATAGTCCCTATAGCCAAGATGTGTCCCAAGGAGTGTCGTGATGGTGACGTCATCAAGTGATTTATTATGGATTTATGAATAATTAATTTTCTCATAGACTTTGTACACAACTTTCTCCACAAGTCTTTCCCTATACAACACTGATATATCTTACTGAGTAGTTCTGAACTTCGGCTGAGAATTACTATGGGAAGGAAAAAGAAATCGTATTTTTTTACGCCTGTCATTTGATTGGAAATATTCCCAAGAGTTAGAATATCAAGTAATATTTTATAAAAATGTTTCAGTTGAAAGGAAAATCACGCATTTAAAGGTGCAGGTTTTCTGCTGTGGGATTTTTAACCTATTGACTTTGTACACGTTTTCAAGCCACCATTTTCATAACTTGGCGATCTGGAATCGTCATCAAAGTTACAGCCAAGGAAGACCCTCATACAAAAATTATGCCAAAACTATTACCTCATGATGACGTCATCATCAAGTGATTTATTATGGATTTATGAATAATTAATTTTTCTCATAGACTTTGTACACAGCTTTCTCCACAAGTCTTTTCCTATACAACACTGATATATCTTACTGAGTAGTTCTGAACTTCGGCCGAGAATTACTATGAGAAGGAAAAAGAAATCGTATTTTTTACGTTTGCCATTTGATTGAAAATATTCCCAAGAGTCAGAATATCAAGTAATATTTGATAAAAATGTTTCAGTTTAAAGGCAAATCACGTATTTAAAGGTGCAGTTTCTCTGCTGTGGGATTTTTAACCCATTGACTTTGTATACGTTTTCAAGCCACCATTTTGATAACTTGGCGATCTGGAATCGTCATCAAAGTTACAGCCAAGGAAGACCCGCATACAAAAAGTATGCCAAGACTATGACGTCACGATGACGTCAGCACCTAATTTTTTTATTGATTTTTCAAAATTTACGTTCATATTGTGAAGTCTTATATCTACAGAAATGTAAGTCCGATTGGGTTGAAACTTGGTATGTGGCTATACCAGGATGTGTTATAGATTAAAAATGAGGTGACGTCATGATGACGTCATCCTGAAATTTTATATAAATATTTATTTTTTTGGACCTTTTAGCCATATCTCCCGAACGCAACATGCAAAATGCAAAATTCTTTTTTGCATTTGGTATGTCATGTAATAGCTATTCGCACAAAACTTGCAAAAAGGTGTGACGTCATCATGACGTCATCAAAATGCGATTTTTCAAAACTCATATAAGGAAAGGTCCAATTGTCATGAAACTTGGTGGGTAGGTAGTTAATCATACTAGTATGCAAAGTTCGAAGTGACGTCACGATGACGTCATCAAAAATTTAAAAATAATTGTCGATTTTCAAAGTGCGTTTTCGACTCTTTGCCAGTTATTTATTTAGATCACTCTTTGTCCAAGCAAAGACCTTGTACACATGCACATACATCGTATTGCCGAGGTCAAATCCTGTCCACAGTGACCGTTTTAGCCGATTTTTCGGCTAACTTTGACAGATTTTATGTTCATGCATATTCAGCGCATATTATTGATTAATAAAAATCATAATGCGGAAAAGCCCTGTGTTCTGTTTCGACAGACATACAGTTCTAGTTTTTATTTCTTTTTGTCGCCAAAATCCCATAGACTTTGTACACGTTTTTTCTACACGCCACTTTTGGCATTAATCTTTGTCAGACATCATTCACAGTTGGCATAAGCATAGTCCCTCTAGCAAAGATGTGTCCCGAAGATTGACGTCATGGTGACGTCATCAACTAATTAATTATACAATTTTGAATATTTAATTTTTCCCATAGACTTTGTACACAGAAATAAAAAAAAAATGTCGATTTTCAAAGGGCATTTTCGACTCTTTGCCAGTAATTCATTTACACCAATCTTTGTTCAAGCAAAGACCCTAATTCAAACAACATTGTGTAATGATGACGTCATGATGACGTCATCCGGTGTGTATTGATAGGCAATTAAATTGTGACACTTCTAATATTTAAAAATGAATAAGAAATCAACCGTACGCGTCCGCAGCATTCTGTTACCTGCAGGCCAAAACCGGAAGTGGCTTATTATTTGAAAGTGGTAATAGATATGAACTTGCTTTCAACGGTGTTAGTCTCTTGGCTAAAAGTATTCTTCAAATCTTCTACCAATGACGTCATGCAATCTTCGAGCGCCCTCTAGCGACAGGTTGAAAATTTGCAAAAATGTATTTGGGATAGATGTCTGTGGCGAAGTTTGTCGGAATCGCCTAAATATTGGTGTATATGATGACTTTGACCCACTTGAGACGTGTGCAAAGTTTTAGGCGAATGACGTCATCAGACAGGAAGTTATAATAAAAAGACCCTTTTTCATTTGAACATTCCTGAAAAATCAACCATGGCAGTTTTTATGTTAGTTTTTACTTTAATTGTCGATTGAAGGGTAGGTCTAAAACATTTCAAAGCTTCGAGGTAATAAGCGAACTCGGACATGCCCTGCGCACGCTTAAAACTTCAGGTTGACATACATGTACCTCTGCTCTAAACATGCACAGAACGTCTATATGTACATACACGTACGTTACGCACATACATGTACATCTTATGTCAGTCAGCCTGCAGAGCACGTGTTGCCGAGGTCAAATCCTGTCCACATCACAGTGACCGTTTTAGCCGATCTTCGGCTAACTTTGACAGATTTTATGTTCATGCATGCTCATAGTCAGGGATGTATAATAAAAAATCATAATGCCGAAAAGCCCTATATTACGTATTTAAAGGTGCAGTTTTCCTGCAGTGGGATTTTCCACAAGTCTTTTCCTATACAACACTGATATCTTACTGAGTAGTTCTGAACTTTAGCCGAGAATTACTATGAGAAGGAAAGAGAAATCATATTTTTTTTCGCGCTGTCATTCGATTGAACATATTCCTAAGGGTCAGAATATCAAGTAATATTTCATTAAAATGTTTCAGTTCAAAGGCAAATTACAAATTTAAAGGTGCAATTTTTCTGCAGTGGGATTTTTTTTAGCCCGTTAACTTTGTACACGTGTTAGCCCATTGACTTTGTACACGTTTTCAAGCCACCATTTCTATAACTTGGCGATCTTGAATCGTCATCAATGTTACAGCCAAGGAAGACCCTCATACAAAAATTATGCAAAGACTATGACGTCGTGATGATGTCATCACCTAATTTTTTTGATTGATTTTTGAAAATTTACGTGCATATTATGAAGACCTATTTCTACAGAACTGTAAGTCTGATTGGGTTGAAACTTGGTATGTGGCTAGACCGGGATGTGTTATAGGTATAAAAAAAATTAGGTGACGCCATGATGACGTCATCCGGAGATTTTATATGAATATTTGAAGGTTTTGTCCTTTTAGCCATATCTCATGAACGTAACATGCAAAATTCAAAATTCTTTGTGTATTTGGTCTGAAAAAAATATCTGACATCATTGTGACGTCATAAAAATGTGATTTTTCAAAATACATATAAGGAAAGGTCTGACTGTCATGAAACTTAGTGGGTAGGTAAATAATGGTACTAGTATACAAAGTTTAACCCTTACTCTCTGAGGGTAGTTTACTGCATGTCAGTTGGTTATGCCAATGCCCTCCAGCTGCAGTTTATTGGAGGATACTTAGATGTAGCAGTGAAGGCTCCAATTGGCAGGAGTTGGAGGCCCTGGAGGGTGCCTGATACTGACCAGCTGGGGGCACTTGATTGTTATCAGAGGACTCTCATTGTTCTCTGTGGCATGTATTGGAGTGCCTGTCCAGTTACCCTTGAAATGACATGGCAGATATTGGAGGGCCATGCAAAAAACATAGGAGATTTTCTTGAGGCACATATTGGCATGCGTTGGAGGGTCTAGTAGGGTAAGGGTTAAAGTGACGTCACGATGACGTCATCGTTTGGTTTTTAAAATTTTTTGATATTTATAATTTTATTCTGCTTCCACAAATTGCACAGTTTCTTTCATCGGATTGACATTAAACTTGGTTCAAACCAAAATCACAATGACAAAATGTGCATTGAGAAGGGTCTTAAGGATGACGTCATTGCAAGGCAAGTGACATCATTTGATAAAATTATACTTTAGGAATTATTCTAAGCGTTTTGAACAACCTTTAACTGCATGAAGCACTCTGAAAAGTGACTGCAAAAGGACAAACGAAACAAATATTTGTAAAATGCGAAATAGCCCTGTGTTCTGTTTGCAAACAGACATACAACTCTAGTTTTTTTCTTATTTTTCCACTTTTGTCATATGTTTTGTACACGTTTTTCTTCTACCCATACACTTTGGCATTTTCGTAAATGCCATCGACTTCAGACTTGGCACACACTTAGACCACCACCCACAGATGGTCCTAGAAGAAATTCGTGATCGTGACGTCATCAGGTGTCGGGTTACGTCACATTAAAGCTGCATTGTTTCCCTATTGGTTTTGTACACGTTTTCTTCAAACCATACACTTTTCCAGATGTCTGATTGACTTTACACTCTCAACTTAACTAGGTGACAAAATCTTTGCGTAGGGATACTTCAGATAACTTGAGAAATTTCAGGTCAATGGTCATCTAGGGGTCAATGGAGGTCATTGTTCATTTTGGTTAGGTACACTGAAAAGTGTACTGACTGACTATTTGAATACTACCAGCATGCCAGGCAGATTGGCAAGTTTTACTTGCAGTGTTTTTAGATAACTAGCAGGGTGCCGCGCCCTCCAAAAAATAGTTCTGCTTCCAATTACATGGCATTTGAAAATGGGGTAGGTAGGTAGGGATTTTTTTTGTGTGTGATCAAATGGAGGCGTCTGCGTTGTAGTCAAGGGTAAAAAGTAGAAATCGATGGTTATGGTGTATTTTTCTCATTGTTCTCATAAAAAAAAATTAGAGTAGGGGCTGTCAGAATAGGGTAGGGAGGGAAACTGGAAGCAGAACTATTTTTTTTTTGCCTAACCATGACTTCAGAGGAGAGCGATTGCAGAGCATTTATATACGACTATGGAGCAATTGAGTTTAATGAAACCTCTCCATAAAACCCTTGCATTTCCTTGCATTTTGTGTCTCCGCATACTCCTTTAGGCCTTTTATCACAGAAACGTGACACACAGACATCAGACAGACAGACAGACATCAGACAGAACAGACATGCAGCGTTGGATGTATTAATATAGGAAGGATAAGATGCTTTCATGAGGTTTTCTTTTGCAATATTTGATTCACAGTTTACAATTGGACGGTGGAACAGACAGTGTCCTGGCTATGTGATTTTGTAGGGCTGCCGCAGTATGCAGAAGCCTTCAGAAAAAATGCCATTGAGGGCTCAGCCATCCCAAGGTGAGAATATAAGTAATGCCTCCTACATGTATGTAGGCCACCTCCACTTAAGACAATATACCGGTACTAGAATAATTTTAATGAGCACCCTTTTGTTGGTGAGTCACATAAGGCCTTTTCTCACTAGACCAAATCTCAGGGGTGGCCCCGGGGCACTTGAAATGTATCAGAAATTCAACTATGCAATGCTATAAAATTAGAAATTAAAGTGGAACCTGTCAAATTTAACTAGTTGATAAAAGAGTATCTGGATGCTTTTACAAATGCCCCGTTCTAATTTGGTAGATGATAAGGTCTACTTCACTCAACTTACCTGTAGAGCAATGGATGCATATTCTCTATACCAGCAGGTATTTCTCGCTAAGAGTTTTATACAGTAGTGCCCTCTGGTGTCTGGTGAGAGACGGCTAGGAATTTCTTGAATGGCCCGGTCCCATGCATGTGATAGGTTGAAGCGCAACCCCCCCTCTCTTGTTCAGTATTGGTTGTTCGGTTCTTTCCCAGATGGCTTCCTTGATGCCTCTTTTGTGCCACTGCTCTTCCTTATCAAGGATCACAACATCCTCATTTCTGAGAGTGTGACCAGAGTCTCGTAGGTGTAAGAAGACTGCAGAGTTTTGTGCCTTGTTAGTGCTAGGCCGCCGATGTTGGTAGATCCTGGATTTTAGGGATTGTTTGGTTTCCCCAACATAAGACTCCATGCAGTCTTTGTCCCCGCAGACGATACCGTATACCACGTTGGAGCGTGTATCTTTGGGCTGTCTGTCCTTCACTTGAACTACTTTCCCCCGTAAGGTGTTGAACGGTTTGAAGCAAGTGGCAATGCCACGTGACTTGAAAGAGTTCTTGATCTGTTCAGACAGTCCGGCAACATAGGGGATGGTGACCCGGGTTTTACTGGCTTCGCCCCGCCTTCGTCTTTACGTTGGTGTTTGTTCTTGTTAGCTTTGTGGAAAGCCCAGTTGGGGTATCCACATTGATGGAGTGAAGTTTGGATGTGGTCCTTCTCTTTGGGGATCTAGTCCTTGTTGCTTATGATGGTGTCTGCCCTATATTGAAGTGTCCTAATGACCCCTAGTTTATGAACCAGGGGGTGGTGAGAATCAAACTGCAGGTACTGGTCTGTGTGGGTGGGTTTTCTGTATACGTCAGAAGAGAGGGTACCGTCGCTATTGCGGGTGACCGAGCAATCTAGAAAAGCAAGTTTGTTCTCCTTGCAGAGCTCCTGGGTGAACTTGATGTGTTCGTCAATGTTATTGATGTGTTCAAAGAAAGGTGCCAGTTCGTTGTATTCGATGATGACAAACGTGTCGTCCACGTATCTTAACCATAATCTAGGTGTTTTGCCTTTGTAAGTGTTGAGTGCTCTTTGCTCAAAAATTTCCATGCAAAGGTTGACTACAATTGGAGAGACTGGAGAGCCCATTGCACAGCCATGTTGTTTGTAAAATTTCCCCGTGTATGAGAAATATGTAGTCTTCAGAAAAATGTCCACCAATTCAATGAGACTCAGTGGATCTTAAGAGAAAAATAGACCCTCCCACTGAACCCTGTATCCCAGCATTTTATGGGTTACCTAAGATCTACAAGCCGGACCCGATACCAGTCAGGCCGATTGTAAGTAGTATTGGATCGGTGACCTACAATCTCGCCAAATACGCAGCTCAAATACTAAGCCCTCTAGTGGGTCAGTCCCCACACCATATCAAAAACACTAAATAATTCGCTAATCAGATTAAAGACATCAGTCTAAAAAGGATAATGAGACAATAACATCGTTCGACGTCAAAGCACTGTTCACATGTATTCCACCTGACGTTGCGATCCAAGCAGTCCAGGAATTTCTTCAGAAAGACACCACCCTGAAGGAGCGTACAGCCTCGAGTGTCGAGCAACTCATTGAATTGGTGGACATTTGTCTGAAGACTACATATTTCTCATACACGGGGAAATTTTACAAACAACAACCTGGCTGTGCAATGGGCAATAGCGACGGTACCCTCTCTTCTGACGTATACAGAAAACCCACCCACACAGACCAGTACCTGCAATTTGATTCTCACCACCCCCTGGTTCATAAACTAGGGGTCATTAGGACACTTCAATAGAGGGCAGACACCATCATAAGCAACAAGGACTAGATCCCCAAAGAGAAGGACCACATCCAAACTTCACTCCATCAATGTAGATACCCCAACTGGGCTTTCCACAAAGCTAACAAGAAAAACACCAACGTAAAGACAAAGGCGGGGCGAAGCCAGTAAAACCCGGGTCACCATCCCCTATGTTGCCGGACTGTCTGAACAGATCAAGAACTCTTTCAAGTCACGTGGCATTGCCACTTGCTTCAAACCGTTCAACACCTTACGGGGGAAAGTAGTTCAAGTGAAGGACAGACAGCCCAAAGATACACGCTCCAACGTGGTATACGGTATCGTCTGCGGGGACAAAGACTGCATGGAGTCTTATGTTGGGGAAACCAAACAATCCCTAAAATCCAGGATCTACCAACATCGGCGGCCTAGCACTAACAAGGCACAAAACTCTGCAGTCTTCTTACACCTACGAGACTCTGGTCACACTCTCAGAAATGAGGATGTTGTGATCCTTGATAAGGAAGAGCAGTGGCACAAAAGAGGCATCAAGGAAGCCATCTGGGAAAGAACCGAACAACCAATACTGAACAAGAGAGGGGGGGGGGGGGGGGTTGTGCTTCAAGCTATCACATGCATGGGACCGGGCCATTCAAGAAATTCCTAGCCGTCTCTCACGTGACCAGCTCACCGGGTCACCAGTTGCCTGACGAAGTCTGATGGTTTCAGACGCAACGTCGCACAGTTGCAAAAGTAAGTTCCAGTATTCGATTCAATTAAGAAATCATCTACTGGATGACTGATTACATACATTATCAGTTATTAACAACTGTTTTTAGACTTTCTCATCATCTTTTTGATTTATTTATTCGATTATTATGAAGCGTTTGGGGAGAACTGATCTGTCACAAACCGGGTGAAATTAGTCTCCCACGGGACAGACCAAGTTCTCGTGGGACTCTGCCATTAACGCTACATCGTTACCACGGCAGCAATCCCTTGTCCAGCACCCTCAGCCACTGCCGGCTGGGGGTGTTGACAGGTCCCCTGACCAGTTAAAGGGACCTTGGTCTCCTTCTCCCGTCAATTCAAGTGGAACACCCAAACAAAAGGCACGCTTTGGCAAGGTTCTTCCAAAACAAACCTCTTGTGCCGGAGCAAAGCCAAAAAAGGGTACGAGCGCCGCTATACCGCCCGGCCCTTCCCCGAACACAGGGCAGCCCGAGGGGACTAACCGCCACGCTTAAGTGGGCTCTAGTCACCCATGCCCTCCCGACACAGTGTTGAGTACCACTGGTTGCCGGGACGGGCTAGTGCACGGGCTATGGTACCCGGGCGGCCCCCGCTCTAACTCACTCTGAGGGACCATTCTCGTCATCGGATTTTTTCCGTTGTTCGGGGGTCCCGGTGCCCCAGGTGTCTTCCGACTTTTCCTCGGACACACCCTGAGACAGTTCTTCAAAGAAGAACAACAAGAAGAAGAAGGCTGATCGCCTATCGCACCGTTGTTCTTCGGACTCTGAAGGCTCCTCTGACTGGTCCCACCGGGGCAAACGCTCCCGAGGTGAGGACTCGATCTTGAGGTCTGATTTCCTACAGGCTTTTCAGTCGATTTCAGCTATGCTATTGGCTATGTCTGCAGGAGCTACTCCCCACAACCCTCAGTCGTTGGTTTTGCCTCACAGTCTTCAGTCACCGGTCACAGTTGGGTGGCCCGTGAACAAAGGGACATACCGCACACACTTAGCCGTGCTCCAGAGTCCCTACCTGCTGTGAATGCTTCACAGTCGTCGTTCATTTGTCATGGTTGGGTGGCCCAAGCACAACGAGATATACCACATGTGGTTGACCGTACACCGGAGGCCCGGCCTAAGGCAAGCAATTCACATGCGTCGGCCATGGGCCACGGTTGGGTGGACCAGAGACAAGGGGACCTACAGCACACAGTTATGTGCCGGGATCCCCGCCTGTGTTGAGTCTTCAACCATCGATGTCTATTGTCTCCGAGGGTGTTGCCCAGCCACCCCTGCGTGGTTTTGTCCAACTCGCCCCTCCAGATGGCTCTCGTTCGCTGGAGCCAACTCGGCCCTCACAATCGGCTGATTCATCCGATGAAGAACCAGACCAATTACAGCGGCTGTCCATTGCCGAAACGAAAATCTGTTTGGTGCAGAGGGACATGATACGGGTACTTAAATTGCCCTCCCCTTATTTTATTTTGAGTATGCAGCCTATCCAAATGTATTAACCCTTCCCACCTCAGCATTCTTTTGATTGTAACCTGGACCAGAAAGTTTTTTTTTCCGCCCCACCCGACCACATTATTATTAATTTATTTCAGGCATCCATCCCATCCAAAAACGTCAATTCTTCCCATCTCCGCATTCTTTTTATTGGAACCTGGACCAGACTGGGTTTTTTTGCCGCCCCACCTAATATATATTTGTAAACTTTGTTAAAGGCCTGTCACTATAATGAGCATGTTATATTAAACCGGTTTGCATTAAATATAGAAGAAAAACCCGGACATAATTCGTATTAAATTTTCCCCTGGAATCTATTGAGAATGTCTTTGGGAGTTCTGTAAATTTAATAAACTAAGGTTTCTAAATTGTTTAAATTTGATGGGACCATATAGTCATATTAAATTTATTATGGAATTTATTCTTTTGTCTCGTTTGTGTCTTTAATCAGATGGGCTGGTTATTTTTGTTCCCTTGATGTGAAAACAAGGAAACCAGATAATAAGCGGTATATTACCCCCATAATTTATTTTAAAGTCTTTTTTAGGAATTCACTAGCAGGGGATTATTAGGGTTTTTTTACCAGACGCAATTTTCTACGAGGAGAGAAAAGTATGTACCTCATAAATTTTACTTGCTTGGAATATATATGTTAGACCTGTTT